CTTTTGCAAATGGGCTTGACTTGGATTTCCACCATCTTTGAATATCACCAATGACGAGTTGTCTTAATCGTTTGGACTTGGGCCTTGTGATTGGCCCAATTGGTACTCTTGATGGATCTTCATTATGTTGGGCCGCATCATCCTCACCTTCTTGAAAATGATTCGACCTCGAATCTTGTAAGCATTGTCTTCGATCCATGATATCACTTGAAATGGGCCACTATAATACTTTCCTCTATCGAATGGAATTATTATTGGGCCTTCTTGTTTCTTCCACCAATGATTCTTTAAGGATGTAGTTGTGGGCCTTGTGATGAGCCCACTATAGACCCTTATTGGATTCCATGTGTACTAGTTCTTATTATGCTTTGAAATAGTTATTAGTTCGTAGTTGTTGGCTACAAGTTGGTGGTTGTGTTTCGTTTAGAGTTTGATATGCTCAATATATTCGTTGGTTAAATTCCTCAAATTCTTGTTTTAGTATACCTTCTTTCTTGCTTTGAATCCTTGTGAATCCTTTTGAATTTTGACCAAAACAGATTGTTCTTGGCACTCTTGTCACATAATTGTTTCGTTTCACCGTTTGTTTAATTCGTCGTACCCAAGCTTCGGGGACGAAGCTTCTTTGAAGGGGGAGAGGATGTGACACCCCGTAATCCAAATTCAATTATGGGATTAATTAAGTAATTAATCCTAAACCAATTGGTATTTTAATTCCTAAAAATCATAAAAATTTAATAGTCGGGGACTAGTAATTGACTAGTCAACCCCAAAGTTAAAGTTGTACCTTGTGCTTTGAGAGGAGTTCCCTTGTCCCCTTACACCTCTTCATTTTAGTAAGGGTATTCATGACTTTTCACCTTGTGTTAGTAATGCAAGCTAACCTAGTAGACAATTCTCATTTCTCTCCATACACTTTCCAAACTTTGGCTCTAACTTCTCTCTAAAAAGGTAGATAGCTTTTCTTCCAAGCCAAGTTGAAGCTTTGTCAAATCTTCAAGAGTTGTCTCCAAGATTCTACCTTTCATACATTTGGGCATCTAGGAGGGTAAGATCTATGTTCATATTGTGTTTTTAGTGTTTCCTTAGGTGTCTTTTCTTAAGGATAGAATCTTTGCCTTATTAGGAGCTTGGTGAAGTGTTAAGTGAAGGTTTTTGTCCACAAGAGGTAACCCATGCTCTACAAAATCTATTTTGCCTACCTATATGACGATTTCTTGGATTCTACATGCGTTTTGCTAGGAAATGTGAGTGTTTATGCATTGTCTTGTGAAAATGCATATCTAGATCTTGTTATTAGGGTTCATGTGTGCCATTGCTTGGCTATTCCATTGATTCAAGTCATTTTGTTGTATTTGGTGAGTTTTGGCATGTTTTGGACTTGAATTTGAGCTTGGTGTTGAAAATCCCCGAAGGGATTATTTTGGGTACAGGTACGTACCCGCGGGTAGGCGTCCACCCGCCGCCCACACGCGTGGAACATATGGCCAGTGGGTGTTGTATCCGCGGGCAGAACCACGGGTAGGGGCCTACCCGTGGGGTCCACCCGCGGGGAACATGATGTGGTTGGGGATTTGTTCCCCGTGATTCTTTTGACTTGGTATTTGGTCTTTTGACTTTCCGATGTTCTTTTGTGGAACTATTTGAGTGTCTTCTTGATGTTTCGTATGTCTAGAACTATATGGTAGGATTCCATGTAGGTTTTGGTGTCTTGAATCCTTCTAAGTGTTCAACATTGTGTTTCGTTGAACCGTGATGAGTCTTGTGTGTTCTTCGGAACTACGTTTGGTTTACCCGTTTGATAAGCATGCTAGTTCGGTGTTTAAATGCTAGTGTGTGTGTTGTTGTACCTTCTTATTGGTTGATGATAACTTGTGTTATTCATCGTTGTTGTTGGACTGTGATCCATTCCTTTATTGAGTATGGTTTCAGATCTTCGTTGAGATCCGTTGATTGATTCCTGTTGAGGTGTGGTGTGTGTGGCTGTACCTGGATTGCACGACTAGTGGTATGGGACACTAGTCACCAAGGTACGGCAGTGGACCTCGTGGTATTCATGACGTGATTATGGAGTTTGTCACCTTTGTGTAAGGATCACGTATTTCTTGGGTGGCATGTGTTGACGTGTGTGTGTTCGGTACCCTCGTGTACTACGAAATCGGTGGTTCTGTTGGAGGGACTGTTGGAGGGGGAACAACGGTTCCCGGGGGAATAAGGTTGGACTTGGTGTACAGGGGTCCTGGAGGTAAAGGTTGGAACTAGACATAAGGTTGGGGGTAGCCATTAGGTTGGAACCGGGCATAAGGAAGGAATATCAATTCGTGATGGGCGATGTCACGAAGGCTTGTGTAGCCGTTGTTGTGAGTTCTCTTCTTGTGACGTGTGTTGTCACAAAGGCATGTGTTGCCATTGGTCGTGTCCTTATTCTTTTTAGTTGTGCATGTCGGCTGTTAATCTATTATGTGATGATAGATTATACCTTGAGTTGTCCTTGTGAGTCGTTGTTGTTCTTCGTTGTCTTGGGATGTGTTCCCTTACCTTGTTGTGAGTGCTTTGAGTCTTGTGTTGACCTTTGCTCTTGGTTTTGAACTTACATATATATATATATATATATATATATATATATATATATATATATATATATATATATATATATATATATATATATATATATATATATGTATTCCATTTCGCAAATGACTTTACAAGCATATATCTTATCTGTGTATGAAATTTCACATGTATTGGTGGGTTACTAGCATTATTTACTGACCGGGCGTCGTCCCATCTTTTATGTGTTTCTTTCAGGTGATGTTTAGACGAGAGCGCAGTTTAGTGCCAGCTAGCGTAGCTCCTTTCTTGTGTTTTGTAGCCTGTGAGCCCAGTTTAGACTTAGTACTTTGACATTGTATGGTTTTAGATGTTGAATTATGCAGATGTTAGCCTGTGCGTTCACCACTGGGTGAGCGTGGCATAGCACCCCTTTTACTTCCAGTTTATATATTTCTCTTTCAGTCTTCCGCTGTGTTTGATGTTTTGTTTAGATATCTGCATATTTAAGACTTTAAATAGCTTGGATATTTAGGGGGTGTTACATATAGGGCAGCATTGTAATCCTAAATACAATGGGAAAAAAAAGTCCTAAACATAATCTTGAAAGCAAGTAAATGTAGTCCTATTTAGAAAGGGATTTAAGAATCCTTTCTAAATACAAAAAGAGTCCTAAACCTAATCTAAAAAGCAAGTAAATATAGTCCTATTTAGAAAGGGATTTAAGGAATCCTTTCAAAATACAAACTAGTGTTTTCTCTTTAATTCCAAACAATTAAAATAATGATGACCACAAATAATAAAGCTGATTTGGGCCTTGGATCTTGTGATTGGCCCAATTTGTACTCTTAATGGATCTTCAGTATGACTTTCTTTTGACAGGGGGAAGAAGGAAGACGAGACATGTGAGGCATTGGGTAGAAAACACCTGGAAATTGATTTTCTGAGGTCTATTTCACCGTTGCTTGAACTCGCCGTCATCAGGACGTTGCTCCGGCACGTCCTCTACCGTCGGAGGGGAAAGTATTCGCCGACCGGCGCTCTAGCGCATCTCTGTTCTCATCGCACTTGGCGATGAAAAAGACGGAATCACGACATCGGACATCCGATGTGCTTCTTCTTCTTGATTTTTATTTGCCATGGATCTTCTTGAACTCTCCAGCGTCCACTGTCATTAGAGAAGAAAATTGCTGGGTAGTCGCCAGGCACGTGCTCTGGCACTGTCATGTTCTTCGCTTGATCGTCAGTTTTGTATATTCAATCAAACTGAGGGCAGAACTATATGTAATCCTAATCTTCAACTTAATATATGCCATGTATATGTATGCATGAGTTTTTCCCTTCAACTTTATAGCTTTCCCAACAGGAGGCATAGAAATTTAGCAGCGGGAGGCATTGGACAAGAAATACTGGGAAATTGATTTTCCGGGATGTATTCTGCCATTACCCAATCCCATCGTCAAATGCCGTGGAACACTAAATTAAAAGGAAACCCCTGTGAATTGATTTTCCAGGATTGTCTTCTATCTTTATTTGGATTCGCCGCCCACGCCGGTCATCATGGATGAAAGTCGCTGGGTACTCTCCGGCATGTTGCCATCGTCCTACGAGCTGCTGCCGCCATCCGCCGACGATGTCTCCAAGCCTTGGACTTGAAATCCATGGCCACTCGCTCCGGCACGCCTTTGCTGATGCCACAGGCACCAATGCCGTAGAGACTCGCCGTGTGGTCGCCGCAGGGTGTCCCTCCGGCGCGCCTCCATCGCTACCGCAACCACCATTGCTAGTGAACTCGTCAAAAGGAGAGTCGACGTTTCATCAGTAAAGTCTCCCACTCTTACTTAGAAGAGATAACCATTTGACTTAACGTTGAAAGGTGCTGGGAAACTTCTATCATATCCGGTGAATTGGTAGGAGCTTAACCAAGATGAGCGCCACTTCTGCTTTGAAGAAGAAAATTTTGTTTGCTTCACTCAAATCACAATAGACCCACCATTATATGCTTTACTCGGAAATCACAAATCTCTAGAGCCATGCGACTTTTTTTTTAAGCCTTCACCCTTCTCAAGGCTCAACATGCGTGTATATGTATACAAAATGCGCGTGGCTGCGTGTACATAGAGCATGTGAGCTGACATCTTGCATGTGCGTGTATATATAAGGCCATCTCCAACCCATTACAGCAAATTCTGCACCAAATTTTACACCAAAAGGAATACTCCCAGAATATTCTTACACCAAATTTTATTCATCTCCAACTCATTACACCAAATTCTACACCAAATTTATTTCTACACAAAAATAATTTGTTCCTAATAAATTATAACTTTAATTTTTTACTTTAAAGCTTTAATATAAAATTAATTATAATGCAAAAAAATATTTTTATTCCACAATAATATAACATATAACAACTATTACATTTAATTTTCAAAATTACCATATCGTTCCTACAAATGCTCAATCAATGCATTACGAAGTGCATAATGCGCTTCTCTATCTTTTATTTGTCTATGTCGAGCAAGAAATTCTTGAAATAGAGTAGTTTCATCTCTACGTATATCAACTTCAATAGCCGGCGCTTCTCTCCAACGTTTTATATCCGCTTGCTCATCATGTTCATCTTCAATTATGATATTGTGCATTATGATGCAAGATGTCATTATATCATATAATACACATTTATCCCAAAAACGTGCCGGTCCCTTGACTATTGCAAATCGTGACTGCAGGACCCCAAATGCGCGTTCGACATCTTTTCTACATGCTTCTTGCATCGTTGCAAATAACATTTTCTTTAGCCCTCGAGGTTCATGAATAGTTTATACTAAGGTTGACCATTTTGGGTATATACCATCAGCTAAATAATATCCCGTATGGTATTGTTCTCCTTGAATAACATAATGAGCTGGAGGTGCAATACCATTTGCAAGGTTTGCAAACAAATGAGATGCCTCCAACAAATTAATGTCATTATTTGACCCTGACAAACCAAAATGTGCATGCCATATACACAAATCATAATAAGCTATGCCTCAAGAATAATAGTTGGTTCTCGACTATGCCTAGAATATTGTCCCGCCCAAGCTGTTGGACAATTTTTCCATGTCCAGTGCATACAATCTAAACTCCCAAGCATCCCTGGAAAACCACGACTCTCGCCAATTTGAATGTATTCATCTGTTGCATCCGCTGGTACTCCATAAGCCAAAATTCGAAAGGCTGCTGTTACTTTTTGTAAAGTAGACAAGCCTAACCTTCCAGTTTTATCTCTCCGTTGCACACAGTAGTTGTCATGATCTTCAACGGCGTTGGCAATTCATAAAAACAAATTTTAACTCATTCGAAATCGTCTACGAAACATTTTTTCATTATATTTTGGATTTTCTAAAAAATAATCAGCCCATAACCTTCGATCACCATCTACACGATCACGATGAATCACTCTATGGCCAGGAACCGAACCACCGTGCCTTGAGTTACTAGCTTGATTTGCCATATTTTCCATATAGTAAGAGCCATGGCAACTTTGTTGTTAGCATATACATTTAGTAATGCTTGCTCTTGTGATTGTGTTAGAGTATTGAGATCAACATCATCCTCTGATTGTTGGGATAAGGGTGAAGGTGAGGGTGAAGGTGAAGATGAAGATGATGATGAAGAAGAAAATGGTATAGGACGTTTACCATTGTTGGAATTCATAATTGAATATTGATATGATGAAGAGATGAATGATAACTTTTTATGTGATGTACTAGTATTTATAATAAGATATGAAATCTTATCACAAACTTTATCAGTAGTGTTTTAAACCGTTGGATTAAATGTCAACAATCTTAACCATTTATTGGTATGCAAATCTTTCCAACATGGAATCCAACAAAAGATATCAATCTTATCACAAACTTTATCAGAAGTGTTTTCAACCGTTGGATTAAATCTCAACAATCTTAACCATTAATTGGTATGCAAATCTTTTCAACACGGAATCCAACAAAAGATATGAAATCTTACCACAAACTTTATCAGAAGTGTTTTCAACCGTTGGATTAAATCTCAACAATCTTAACCATTCATTGGTATGAAAATCTTTCCAACACGGAATCCAACAAAAGATATGAAATCTTATCAAAAAATTTATCAGAAGTGTTTTCAACCGTTGGATTAAATATCAACAATCTTAACCATTCATTGGTATGCAAATCTTTCCAACACAGAATCCAACAAAAGATATGAAATCTTATCACAAATTTTATCAAAAGTGTTTTCAACTGTTGGATTAAATCTCAACAATCTTAACCATTCATTGGTATGCAAATCTTTCCAACATGGAATCCAACAAAAGATATGAAATCTTATCACAACCTTTATTAGAAGTGTTTTCAACTATAAATACTACACTTGGATTGCCAAAGTAAAACCACCACTCTCTGGATTCTCAAACCCCCTCTCAAACACTCCTCCATTCTCTTTGCAAAATGTCGAGCTCACGCACAACCCGAACTGCATCATACTCAATCGAGGAAGATCAACTTCTATGTCGTGTGTATAGTGATATTGGCTAAGATCTTGAAGTTGGTAAGAATCAGGCACAACAAGCTTTTTGGACTCGTATTGGGATTGAGTACCAGCAAAAGCTACCACAACGAATAATGGTAATATTCAATCTTGGCGTTCTCTTCAAACTCGGATGCAAAATATATTGACAACTGTTTCAAAATTAAGAGGATGTATCCGCCAAATTGAAAACATGAACCCGAGCGAAGCATATGAACAAGACATTGTGAGTACTTTATAAATGTTTTATTAGTCATTTGCTTAAATTGTAAGTACTTTACACATATTTATTATTTACTTGCTTATATTTATGATTTATAACAGCTAAATAGAGAAAAATATTTATTGTCACAAGATGCCAAATATCCAAAGGGGTTTAGATTTGATCACGTATGGCCTATCCTTAAGGATCTCGAGAAATTTAGCTCTACTCCTAGTAGAGACACAAGTTTTGATAGCCGAAAGCAAAATACCGACTTTCAAGGATCACAATCACTGATGATATAGCAGATAAGTCAATAGGCTCATTATCTTTTTGTGTTGATTTGAATGACGATTTTGAAAGTGCAGACCAGGTTAATGAAAACAATAATGCAAGCGAGCGTCCTACGGGAAAGAACAAGTAGAAAAAAGAAGAAACAACTGAATGAAGAAAATAAAGAATTTTTAAAATCCATCCAGACAGGAAATGAACAAATCAAAAAAATGTTCCAACATCATCAGGATATACTTGAAAAAAATTATGAGGTTCAGTTGTTAAAAGCTCATACTGAAGCAAAGAAAGTAGAGTTGGCAGAATGACAGGAAGCAAACATAGAGCGTCGAGAAGAGAACAAAATCTTATGCATAAATTTAGATTCAATCACAGATCCAATGGTGCGTGAGTCTATAAGGAATGAGGAACTACAAATTGTTGCAAAGAGAGCTAATGAGCAAACACATGGAGGAGGGGTTGAATCAAGTAGTCAATTTAATCAATATTTTGATAATATGGGAGGGAATGGAGATGTTCTTGGAGACTATTAATTTTAAGTATGTTTTGTTAAATTTCGGATGTATTCGGTTTAATATTATGAAAATTATGTTTTATGTACTTTAGTTTTTGATTAATCTATATATAATATTAGGCTTGTTTTAATCGTCTTGATGCGTTCTTTCAAATGATATAATTTATTTTTAATTATTCAAATTTTATGTTTATGTATTTAACAAAATATGTAAATCTATAAAAACAAAATAGGGACACTAAAGAAATTAATAAAAAAGCTAAGGTCAAAGTGAGAATTAAAAATTTTAGCACCATTTGGCGTCAAGCTACAATGCAGCGCCATATTTGGGGCTGCACTATAGACCATCGGCAAAATGGAACCACTTTTGGCGCTTCATTGGAGGACTTCAATGCCAAAAGCAGCGCCATTTTGGCAATTGAGGGAGCAGATGGTGCTCCCTTGGAGAAGGTCTAAATATATGTACATTAGCATATCTTCCACCACAATTTGGTTTCCTATGTATACCAAATTACCAACATATATATATATATATATATATATATATATATATATATATATATATATATATATATATATATATGGAGCCAGGAATTCTGTTGGTGGGGGTGGGGGTGGGGGGGGGGGGGAGCGGAATAGGGATAGATTCAGAAATTTTTTTCCAGTAAAGGTGAAACATTAAAACAAAAGAGATATTTAAAAATAAATATATAAATTACCTAGGAAATATATGTGTAAATATTATTGGATATGAACAAAAAATAAAACACATCGAAATTTTATAAAAATATTCATATATAACAAAATGTGAAACATAATTAATTTGATAAAGTAATTTGAATAAAAACACATTATTATTAAATTACACATCTCATTATTAATGTAAAAAAATATTTTATATATATATATATATATATATATATATCTATATACATACATATATATATATATATATATATATATATATATATATATATATATATATGTATGTATGTATGTATGTATGTATTTATGTGTGTGTGTATTAAATATTAAAAAAGTTATTAAAACGTGACTGTGTTAAAGCCATAGCGAAGGAGTCAAAAAAACTGAAAAATTATAATAACAACTAAAGGATTCTAACCCTTGACTTCTATTATAACCAAACACATGCTTTACCAACTAATCTAACTCATTTCTCATTAACAATTAACAGTTTGTTTATACTAATACTCAAACATGTACGCCCAATTTTAGCCCACAGAACGCGCCAAAAGTGGCTAAGAAATTTAGAATCTCTATCAGAAACAATAGTCTTAGGGATGCCATGCAATTTAACAATATCAGCAAAGAAAAGATTAGCAATATGAGTTGCATCATCAGTTTTGGTGCAAGCAATAAATCTAGCCATCTTACTAAAACGATCAACTACAACAAAAATAGAATCTTTTCTCTTAGAACTCATACGTAACCCTAGAACAAAATCCATAGAAATATCAAGCCACGGGCCGCTATGAACAGAAAGTGGTTTGTAAAGACCTTGGGGAAGTGATTTGGACTTAGCATGGTGACATGTAGTACAATTATTCACAAAAGTCTCAACGTCTTTTTTCATTCTAGGCCAATAGAAGTGTTCATGCAACGCATCATAGGTTTTAGAAATACCGAAGTGTCCTATAAGACCACCTCCATGTGATTCAGAGATCAAACTCACACGCAAGGAACAATTAGGAATGCACACTTTATTTTCCTTAAACAAAAACCCATCTGAAGAGTAAAACTTTCCCAAAGGAGATCGTACACAAGAGGTGTAGATCTCGCCAAACACTGAATCACTAGCATAGAGAGACTTAATGAAATCAAAACCAAGAAACTTAGCATGTAAAGTAGCAAGTAAAGTATATCTCCTAGATAAAGCATCAACCACTTTGTTTTCCGTACCTTTCTTGTAGGCAATTTTATAAGGAAAAGCTTCAATGAACTCGAGCCATTTAGCATGTCTCTTATTCAACTTACCTTGGCCTTTCAAATGTTTTAAGGCTTCATGATCAGTGTGTAAAATGAAGTCTTTAAACCATAAATAATGTTGCCAAGTTTCCAAGGCTCTTATAATGGCATAAAGTTCTTTATCATATGTGGGATAGTTGAGTGTTGCGTCACCCAACTTCTCACTAAAATAGGCAATGGGGCGTTTATCCTGCATCAGTACAGCACCAATTCCAATGCCAGAAGCATCACATTCTAGTTCAAAAGTTTTATCAAAACAAGGCAAAACTAGAACAGGAGCGGTGGTGAGTTTCTCTTTCAATGTAGCAAAAGCTTGTTCCTGTTTAGGCCCCCATTTGAAGATGGTGTCTTTCTTAATCAACTCATGCATAGGAGCTGCTATGGAGCTGAAATCACGAACAAACTTTCTGTAGAAACCTACCAGTCGAAGAAAACTACGCAAGTTAGATACATTAGTTGGCGTTGGCCAACTTGTGATAGCTTCAACCTTTTTTGAATCCATGGTCACACCTTCTATACTAACATGAAATCCTAAAAACTCAACACTCTCAGACATAAAAGAACACTTCTCAAGATTGACATACAACTGTGCAGCCCTAAGTTCAAGAAAAACTAATCGAAGGTGTTTCAAGTGTTTTTCTTGTGACTTGCTATAAATCAGAATATCATCAAAGTAAACAACAACAAAATTACCAATAAATTTCCTCAAAACATGGTTCATAAGCCTCATGAATGTGCTAGGGGCATTAGTTAAGCCAAAAGGCATGACTAACCACTCATATAACCGTGCTTTGTTTTAAAGGCTGTTTTCCACTCATCACCTTCTTTCATCCTGATTTGATGATATCCTCGTTTCAAATCCACCTTGCTAAAGTACTTAGCTCCATAAAGTTCATCAAGCATATCATCAAGTCGAGGAATAGGAAATCTATACTTAATAGTTATATTA